CTATACACTAAATTTGGTTATAAATAAATTTCTTAATAATATCACTGCAGATTTTCAATAACACATGAAAATGAATACATAATATTACAAAAGATGTGAGCTTTCAAAAGTACAAGATTTTGGTTACTATTCAAAATATAAGTGTTTCTTCAAAATTTTAAATTTGTTTTTTTCGAGAACATATTTAGAAACACTATCCTTTATAAAAAATATATTAATTTTATGTATTAATTAAATATCACTTATGAATATAGGTTTTTGACATTTTCGACAGTGAGGTTTTTGACTTGACGGTTTAAACCGTCAAAAACTGTCACATGTCAAAAACCTGCCAACCCTGATAGAGGGGAGTGTAGAGAGAAGCATTTTTTTCTTGTTTGCTTCTTTTATCCCACTTTCCAATTCCTAAACAACCAAGCAGATGTTTCCAACCCAGGCAGATGATGCACCTGTAAGGTTTCAGTGGGAATGAGTAATTATTCATTATTGGTCAAAGGGTTGGACACACTAATATGTGTTGATAAGGCCTTCATTTCAACTACTTTTTGCTCTCAGTTCAGTTAAAAAAAGTCTGCAAGCAAGTGTGACCATTGATGATAAAATGGGCATAATCAGAAAAATTGAAAATGGATGCAATCGCGAAAAATCTAAATGTCAGAAGTTTTTTTAAAAAAGTAGATCACAAGGATGTTGAAGATGCATTACTGAAGTGGTTCACCAATCGAAGAAGCCGCAATTTTCCACTATCTGGACAAATGTCGATGAATTTGCTACGCAATTTTATGAAACTACTTTTATATGTGCAAATGGCAGGTTAGACAGGTTTAAAAAGTGGAATAACAGAAATTCAGGAAAAATTATCTGAGAGTCGGGAAGTGTTTCCATATCTGCTGTTGAGGATTGCTCATCAGCTAAAGATTACAAATTTTTTTTTTGTACTCCAGGCAAAGAGAAATGAAAAATAACACATTTTTTGCTACTACATAATGCTTTCCAGTCATTTATTTGAATAATGTGTAATAAAAGGGAGGAGTTTGGGAACCATTAGTTAAACTGTCTGCATAACGGATATAGTGAACCGAAATTTCGGTCCCTTGAAGGTTCACTATAGCGGGGTTTGACTGTGTATATATATTTGAAAATTGTATTCAAATTTTCAGTTGTTCAAGTGATTTTTTAGGAAAAGAAAACTTTTACTATTTAACATTCACAAAACCTCTAATACTTTAATTAATAGAAATAAAAAATGAAATAAATTATCAAATAAATAATGAATATTATTTTACACTTCAAAGTTTTTTTTTTTTAACCTTACAAATTTTCCTCAATTAAAATATTTTTAATCGCATTACAGTCTTTCTTTTCTCTAAACTATTTTAAATAAAACTTTTGCATTGCGTGATATTACAAAAAATTCCCCCCCCCTCCAATGTTTATGTGTGTAGTAGATGTATGTAGTGTTATGTTATGTATGTTGTGTAGTGTTATGTATGTAGATATATTTGATATGATAAAAAAGGATTTTTTTTTTAAAATATTAGTTTTTATTTTTGAATGAACTCTAGTAATTAAAAGCACTTAATTTTCTGCTAATATATTTGGAAGTGCTTATACAGCAAACATGGTAATATTTATGTAAAGATTACTACATTTGCTGTCAACATGTTCAAATACGAGTATGGCCCTTTATCAGTCAACCTGCAATGCAAGTGGCCCTTTGTTAATCAATCTGTTGTGCAAGTGCACTAGTTTTTTTTTCTTTCCATCAACTATTTATTCCAAGACAATAAAATATTACACTTGGATATTTTCCTATTCAGTTTTTGAAGCATTCGACTTACACACCCAGTATACCAAAAATTTTCTAAGACATAATCAAAAATAAGGGGTAGACTTTTGCACAGGAATATAAGGTAGCTACATTTGCCCACTACAGCAAATGTTTCAAAATAAAATAAAATCATAGTACAGTAAAGAATATTATTACTTTAATAATCAAATGATGTTTCACATCATGAACTTACTGACTCAAGGATAGGAGTTGGTATCTTTCGAGGCCGCCCTTTACGTCGTTTAGGGTGAACATTTTCTTTTTGTGATGATTGTGCTTTTTCTTCTGATGAAGTATTGTTGGTCTGCGAGTTAGATTTTTTCTTCGAGGAACTATCCCGCTTTTGTTTCTTCCTTCTTTTCTCCTTAGGTTCTGGATTTGGATCATATATCGTTTCCAAATCACTTGGTATTCTTTCTTTACGTTTCTTCCTGGAAGATTCAACAGGTTCGGGGAAAACTGTGGGAATAGCATTTGGCTTTAACTTTCGCCAACCATCTTGACGATGCAACTCAAATTGAGTTTCTTCAAAATGTATCTAAAAAAAAAAAAAAATAGACATTTAGTTTTAAACAGTCGAAAAATATCATTAAAAATAAAAAACTTAGATGCGTAATTTAGAAAATTATATGAGCAAATTTAACATTCCATACTAAAAATATAACAGGATTCCTATTCTAACAAGATAACTAGAATTTCCTACTTTCTATTAGGATAGAAGGATTTCCTACATCATTAGGATACTTTAATAAAAGCTCTTTCAAAAAATTTTCCATTCCCCAATTATGTTTTTGTTACACACAAACTATTTCATTAGAAATATATTATCAGCAATAAAACATTTTATTAAAGAAAAGAAAAGTCAAATATTAAATTTTGTAAGCAACAGAACATTATTAAATGAAGGATTAATTTTATACCATACAAGTATATAATTTAAAATCAAAATTTATTTATACAAAAAGCTTAATTTTTAAAACAAATTACTATTTAGCAGAATTAAAAGTTACCTTCAAATATAGTTGCTAGAGGAAGAAATTTGAAACATGAAATTAGAAAAGAAATTTTTTTTTGGATAAATTTTATATTATGATTTTAATTGCAATATGGTTACATTAAACCAAAATGTAACCATATTGCAATAAAATTTGTTCATGAAATGATTGTGGTAGAATGCATTTTTTTACCTTAAATTTCACTTGCTACTTGTTGTTAATGACTAGCTATTTTGTGACTGGTAATATTCCTAACATACATATTTAAGAGGATATTCATAAGGTAAATCCTAGGTAATATTCCTAACATAATGATTAAGGACTGTTTAAGGTATAGTGAGAATATTCCAGGTGTTGGTAAAGAATACAATTGCCCCCCCCCCCAAATAAAATCTTTGATAATTCCTGCCTACACAAAAACCTTGTATATAAAGAAGCAAAATATCAAAAATTTTAATCAGAAAAAAAAATTAGGTACGATAAAAATCATAGTCACTCTACCCTTCTCAAATTACGATTATTTTACTCATTGAAGTAAACTGACGGTCTTTTAATCATTAGATTAAAAACGGGATATTTTGTTATGCTTGTAAATAGTTGTGTGCAAAAAATAAAAGAATCGAATTTTTCTAAAGAAATAAAATGATTTAAAAATAGGATCGTCCTCTTTTGTATAAAACTTAATAACTTTTTTTTTTAAACAAGTACACTTTTTAATAACACTTTAAGCAAGTGTAAAGTTTATTTACAACCAAATGCATTTCAATAAATGAGTGTATATTTTAGTTTATAGAAAAATGAGTCGTATCTAAAAGAATAAGTTACAAAGATATTAAATCTATAAAATTAGCAAGCTATATTTTGGTACTACTAATAAATATATACTATGTATTATTCTTTCTGAGCAATTTATGTTAATCATTAAATGTAGAGAAGATATACAAACAGTTAACAATTTTTTCTTCTTCCCACAATTATTGACCACATAATTAAACAGAGTATAAATTATGCTTTCTAAAATATTTCTTTATATCCTGAAATTATTTACTAGACAATAAAGTATACAAATAGAGTAAAAAATAAATTTATTTAAAATAATCTTATTACAGATGTAAATCTGTAAAAATCCTAATGCTTACATAACCATTTTATAATCACTCAGTTTTTATTTAAAAAAAAAAAAAAGATTCAATTATTTAAAAAAAAATCATTAAAATTGCAAGAGGAAATATTGTTTTTAAATAGATTCTGCATTCAAGATGTTTAAAAATACCCATTTGCATAAAACATAGTTTATCATCTTCACAAAATAAAAATCTCCATCTAAATACTTTAATGCAGTTATACATTAAAACACCAAAAAGAAAAAAAAAGTTTTAAAAATACATAATCTGAACTCACACTAGAAAACTAACATGAATTTAATAAAATACATTCTAAATGTAAAATCAGTGCATAATACATTATATACTTAAAAAACTGTATACACTTAAAATGCATTACATTTGCATTAGACATGATGAGTAATGGTAACAAAGAGAAGATTTTTCTATCGTGATCTGCGGCAGAATAAATGATAAGTCTCTGCAACTTTTAAGCACCAACCTGAAAGAAACTAAAATAAATAAATAATAATAATAGAATCGGATTAACTTGAGCCATCCCTGGTTAAACCTCTACAAGCTTTTTAAAAACATTAGCAAGTTTATTAGATACCTTGGCAATTGTAATTGGCATGGCAGATCAAGATATGGAAATATCCTGATAGCAAAGAACATCAAAATAGATGTTTTACAAATCATTTTCATTCTTTGTATTATATAAAAATAAAAACTCAAATAATATGAAAATAAAAAGAAATGAAATAAATAATTTACATAATTTGTGAAAAAACAATAAGTCTGTTAAAAAAATTATTAATAAGTGACAGTCAATTTCAAATCACATAGCTTAATTTTTTCAAATTCATTGTTTAAAGAGCTTTGTGAAAGAATGGTTAGAAATTATTTTTTAAATCAGGGATAAGAGTAGTCAGAAAGTAAAACAGAGGAAATCCAAGAATATATATATATATACACAAAAATTTGACAAAAAAAATTTCGATTTTTAAACTTGCAAACCATGTGATTATAAATCCCGATATGAGGCTTTTAAATTATGTGAATATGAAACTCTACATCGAATTTAAAAAACGCGAAAATACAAATCACGACATTGGATTTTAAGCTCGCGTGAATACGAATTCTACCATAGGGTTTTTAAAGCACACAAATACAAGTCGCGATATTGGATTTTTAAATCTCGCAAATAAGAATCGCAATGCACGATATTTAAATCGCCTGAATAAGAATTGCAACACTCACCTTTTAAATCAGGTAAACATGAAAATTTATGTTTGATAATTAAATCGCGATTTTAAAAATGCATGAATACAAAACACGATATTAGATTTTTAAATCTCGTAAATAAGAATCATAATGTACGATTTTTAAATAGCGTGAATAAGAATCTCCACACGTAACTTTTAAATCAGGTAAATACGAAAATCGATGATTGATATTAAAATCGGGTGAATAAGAATCGAGATATTTGCAGTCTGGACTTGGGAGTTCTAAAAGGCTTGTTTGTATTGTTTTAGTTTAGACGTAAGAAATAAAAATTTACAAGATTAATTGAATGAGCAAATAAATATTTTCACCGCAAATCCACCTTTATTTTTTTTCATGCCAGAATACAGGAAGCAGCGACGTCTGAATTACGAGCTATCCGGCGGGCGGATAAAAAATAAGGAAAATCTTATTTTCTGTGCGTGTAATCGGAGAAAATAGCTTATAAGTAAAAATGCAGAAGGGTTAGCAGCTAGGACGTAGTTTGAATTTTCTGTTTATCTTTAAAAATTGTAAATAAATATAACTATTTTATTTCAACGACTGAATTTTAAAAAAAAGCGGGACATTTATAAATTAAAAAAAAAAAGGAACTTTTAGAGATTCAGAGTTTTTGATAAAAAAAAAAGGCTGAAATTCGAGAGACAAAAGCGAAGAAATCTCATCCCTATATAAAGGTCGACCAGTGTTATCCCAAAGAAATGATTTTTAGAGAAACTTCAGAGGGTGGAATAATTTCGCTCTGCGGAAAATTAAATTGCCCATAAAATATTTTAACTTATGCAAAAAAAATATTTCTGCGGAAATTAGCGGGAAAAATTTGAAAAAAGAAAAGCGGAAATCAGTGAAACCGTGGAATAATCACATCCCTGTTAAATACAATTGTTGCAAATTTTTTTTTTTTAATTATCGGGTCATTCCATGTCAGTTCATCCAGCCGTGGCACCCAACATCTCTGATTTTGATGAAAATTTTTACACTTATAGAATTTTTTGTGTCAATTTCAAAAGTATAAATTATATTTAAATCGGTTAAGGGGTTTAAAAGTTACAAGCATTTATATTTTGGCCGAAATGGCACATTTGCCACCATTTTGATTCATACATCAAAGGCTATTAATGATTGTAACTCACCCTATATTTGTCATAGAGCAATATTTTTTATTTTGTTCAGAATACAGTAATCTGTCATTTAAACATTTTTTTAACAAATAAGTATCTTACTTATTTTGTAAATGCAGGGGTCTATCTAGGTTTTTCTGAGAGGTACCTATTTTGTGAAAATTTAGACATAATTTGTGAAAAATTAAAAAATCAACAAAAAAATATGGATTTATCGTTTCTTAAGGGATACAAAAATAAAATTTTAAGAAAAAGTATTTTGTGAAACTACCGTTTTTCCTAAAGTTGAATTTGTGAAGGTACCGCTAAACGGTAGTAAATTCAGCCTGGACAGACCCCTGAAATGGGTCTGTTTTGCAGATTTTTGATCAACGGAGTTGAGTAACTTCAGGAGATGATTTCTGGCAACTCGCCTACTTCAATTTCAAAACTATTTTATTCAAAGATAGTTGAAAGTGCAAACTAACATCTGATATAAAAATTTTGATGGATGGTTCACTCACTTTTTTAAGAAAAATATTTTTCTTATAAATTATTATGCATTAAAAGTACTGGTAGTTTGATGAATGACCCGATCTGCAAATTTAAATGGTGTTCTGCTTCAAGTTTAATTAAAAACCAGGGAAGACATTTACGCGCTATAGCGCGTAAAAGACGCAAAAAATTTAAATCGGACGCAAAAAAAAATGATCGCTATGTGTCCCGCGGGACGCGTAAATTTTTGAAGAAAGTTTATAAATTTCCCGACTTTTTAATCTTTGATATCGAAACATTTTAATAAAATCGAAAAATTGGGACGCAAAAAATAAATCGGTATGCATCCTCGGTATAAAAAAAAAAAAAAAAACTNGAAAGATTATATTTGTTTAAAAATTTATGTAAAGGACCCATTTTTTTTCAAAAGGACCCAGTTTTTTAAAAGTCATGGGTCCCAGGGACCCGGGATTTTGAAAGCCTAGTGTCTTCCCTGAAAACTTATAAATATTTTTTCCCTTGGAAAAAATATTTATAAGTGTTTGCACAAAGCAAATGAAT